TAAATTAGATATACATTTTTATAATCAATTATTGATAAATAAAAATATTTTTATTATAAATATAAAATATAATTTATATATTTTAAAATATTTATATGAATTTTGAATATAACTTATATATTTAATATAATATTTATTTATTATAAATTTTAATTATATATAATATCTTACACATTCTAAAATACTATTTTTTTTTTATTGAAAACTAAATTATGAAAGATAAATTTGTTGTTGTGAAAAATAAAAAGATAAACTTTTCAAACCATTTGTCACAAGAGAGGGTTTGCAAAACTCTTTACGCCTCTGCGGCCACTGACTCCGATCACTTCCTCCGCCGGAGAGCCACCACGAATTCAACGTGAACAAGCAAATAGGTATGTGTTCTCTCTTGTTGTTTTGTGTTTCATTTTTTATTTCATTGATTTTGATTTCACTCGTTTCTGTTTCGCTTATTGTTTCATTGATTTTGAGAGCGCCAATATGAACACATACCTATATTATTTTGCCTGAACAAGCACGTTTATACGATATATAACATTTATGCATTATTGTATTTGGTTGCAACGACATTACTTGATTGCACTTGTTTTGTGGGTATTGCATTGCTTCCATTGATACTAATAGTTGCACTATGATAACAAGAGCAAAAGGAAATAACCCCTTGTCGGTTCTAACTCTCCACTTTGCATATCAAGGTTCATACTTCATAGGCGCACTTTGCATTCGGGGTGCTGTTCTGTTACCTTCATCAACGAATCATGGTAATCAAACAACCTTATTCTTATGTTATCATGCTTGCCACCAAATATCTCACAATTTTTTTCTCCACAGACTATGCCTTCAGAATGCGATCATTCAACAAGGGATGAAGATGACCATGATTCAATGCCACAACTCCCCTCAATTCGGCCACCACCTCATAGCCACAATTCAAAACAAGGAGTGTATTTCATTCTTGAGAAGGCCTCACTAGTTGCTGCTTTTGTTGGCAAAGTTTGTTTTTTTTCTCTCCCCCAAATTGGGTCATTCTGCGCTCTCGGTTTCGTGTTCTTATTGAATTAAATTATGATTTTGTTTCTAATCATTGCATGGCCTATTTCAGAAATACCAGATTTTGAATCCAGATGAGCATGCCAATTTCTTGCGGAGGAAAAACATGAATCCTTATGATTTTAGGCCTGACATTGTTCATGAGGTTAGATATTATTCATTAATGTCAATCCTTGTGACATTTTATTCGCGGATTGCCCATAGGTAGCAATTTTGAGATGAAAGCTCAAGACTTTCCTAGTGAGTTATGAGTCACTACTCAATTGGTAGTTTGGTAGTTTTTGGGCGATGGTTGAATGTGAAATAAATCATATGAATTTTCGTGTTTTGTATTCTCGTAGAGTCTAATTACAACCTAACTTTGATTGGTTCTCTGAATAATTTTTTTGAGTTTTCTATTCCATTGTAGTTTTCTGTTGAATAAGTATCGTTTTTTCTTGATTAACTTGACATTGAATGTTTATTGAGTTTAGGCTCTCCTTCAAATTATGAGTAGTCGGCTTTGCCTGTCTGGTAGATTACGTGCTGTATTCATCAGGACAGATGAAGGTATTCTTATCAGAGTTGCACCACAAACTCAGATACCAAAAACACTAGGAAGCTTTTGTAATATGATGAGTAATTTTCTCTACTCCATAGTTCATCCTTATTCTTGGTTCTTGTCATCACATCTCTGTTTGAAATATTCAACAATTTTTGTAGTGGAGTTGCTGCAAAAGTTCAGTATCAAATCAAAAGGTGGTCATGGAAAGCTTTTAAAGTTAATTCAAAATCCTGTGACTAATCACTTACCTATCAACTCCCTTAAAATAGGTGAGTACTATAACCAAGCAATGCTAAAATAGTAAAGTGTCCATGTCTTGTGAAGAGTTCTTATGCGCTGTCCTTGTGCTATTGTAGGTCTTTCTTTTAGTTCAACAAAGGCAGTTCAATTAAGGGACTATGTTAGTGGTGCTAATTGTGATGAGAACCTTGTATTCGTGGTGAGCTTTTGCAGGCCTTTATGTGATGAAGTTTATTCTGTTATTATATTAGTTAATTTTATTGTTTGACTATTGTTCAGGTTGGTGCAATGGCTCATGGAAAAATTGATGTTGACTACATTGAAGATCTTATATCAGGTTATTCATAAAATATTGTTTTTTTTTTCAGATTCAAGTCCTAATTTGTGGTTACAATGCTTTTTCATATTTTGTATTGGAGAGAATGAAGTTCTTGTGATGTGTATTGTTTATAATGATTGACATGTATTTTGTATACAATCACATATCTCTTAAATCAGTGTATCTTAATTTTGTGGACTCGATTTCCTATTACTTGTTGCACTATTTAAGTTGGCAATTCGTATTTTTCATATCAGAGTATGAAGGTAGAGAGGATTTTATAATTCCATGTCGTGTAGGAATAAGGAA